TTTGAGATGGAGTCTCTCTTAGACACCCAGGTTGGAGTGCTGTGGTGCGATCTCGGCTCACTGCAACCTCTACCTCCTGGGTTCAAATGATTCTCCTGCCTCAGCCTCCCAGTAGCTGGGTGTGTACAGGCGCCTGCCACCACGCCCAGCTAATTTTTAAAAATTTTTAGTAGAGACCACCATATTGGCCAGGCTGGTCTTGAACCCCTGACCTCAAATGATTCACCTACCTCGGCCTCCCAAAGTGCCGGGATTACAGTCGTGAGCCACCGCACCCGGCCAACATAACTTTTATATGCAGTGGGGAACCAAAAAAGTTGTGTAACATGCTTTATTGTAGTGGTGTGGAACTGAACCCACAGTATCTCTGAAGTATGCCTATGTTTCTATTTTGAATTATTGATTTATAGATTTTATTTTATTATCTTTTTGTATATTTGTTGTAATACATTTAGTTAAGATTATTTATGTAAACTATCAGTAAACAGACAACCTACAGAATGGGAGAAAATATTTGCAAACTATGCATCTGACACAGGCCTAATACCCAGCATCTATAAGGAACTTAAATTTACAAGAAAAAAACAACCCTATTGAAAGGACATGAACAGATACTTTTCAAGACATAAATATGGCCAAGAAGCTTATGAAAGAAAGTTCAACATCACTGATTGTTAGAGAAATGCAAATCACCATAATGAGATACCACCTCACACCAGTCATAATGGCCATTATTAAAAAGGCAAAAAATAACAGATGCCGGCAGAGAGGAGAAAAATTTCCATTTTCCTATTGGAAGTAAGCAGCAATACGGAACTGAGTATCTCAGCCTTATTAAGTATGTAAACTTTCACTTATTCTCCTTGTTTGAGCCAGTTTATTTTCCCTGTATTCTTCTGCCTGGTGTCCCTGACTCTAGAGTCTGTCTGGTTCCATTTCTCCAGAAGCAGAGAGTAGTCTCCCATCTTCTCTAGGGAGTGATAGGCATCTCATAGCACAATGCAGGCAATTGTTTGCCTTATAGACTTCCATTCAGTTCTCTTGTTTTTTAGGGCCCCTGTTCATTCCCACTTTTCGTGGTACATGATTTCTCAGCCTTTCTTTAGTTATATAGTAGGAACTTGCTTTTTGACATCTTCGTCTGCAGGCACATGGGTTTCAGTGTTCTCAGTTCTTCTGTTAGGTAACAGTCCTTTCATCTTCTTCCATCTGCTAAAATTATGTTTAAATCTATCATCCATTGTTGTCTGTTATGGCCTTTGTCTTCGTTGGTTTATGCCTTTTACATGATACTGTAATATTAGTGCACTTTTGGATAGAATCCAAGCTAAACTCATGTATTTATTATACCATATTTAACCTCAACTTCTTATTATTTTTTTTCCCTCTGCTCACTATATTTGCCCCTATACAAGTAACCTAGGTGGGCCTCTCCAGTTTTATGTTCCAATTCTGTCATCCAGTTTTTAACCTTCCTATTGGTTCTTCTCATTTTATTGATTATTGCAGTGTTCAGAACAATTTTATTTGTTTACACTGGATATATAATACATACTCATGGAGCAGAACTTTTTATTTTTATTTTTTGATGATTATTATTTTTTTTGAGATGGAGTCTCACTCTGTTACCCAGGTTGGAGTATAGTGGCACGATCTTGGTTCATTGCAATCTCCGCCTCCCGGTTCAAGTGATTCTCCTGCCTCAGCTTCCCATGTAGCTGGGACTACAGGCACGCGCCACCACGCCCGGCTAATTTTTGTATTTTTAGTAGAGATGGGGTTTCACTATGTTGGCCAGGCTAGTCTTGAACTCCTGACCTCATGATCCATCCGCCTCGACCTGCTGGGATTACAGGCATGTGCCATCGCACCCGGCCAGAACAGACCTTCTAAAGTAGAAAAGGATGTATTTTGAAAAGTAATTATTCTCTTACACATTTTTCCTGTCTATGGTGGCACCCCCAGTATCATTTTCCTTTGAGCTATTCTATTTTCAAACATTTTTATTGAAACTCCTTTAAACTGATATATTAACTTGTGAATGTCATCTTTATGCTGTTGAATTTTCTCATGTAAAATCCTTTAATGCCTTTTGTCTTAGTTTCCTAGGGCTGCTGAAACAAAATACCACAAACTTGGTAACAGAAATAACAGGAATTGGCCAGGCATGGGCCACCACTTTGAGAGGCCGAGGTGGGTGGATCACCTGAGCTCAGGAGTTCGAGACCACCCAGGGCAACATGGTGAAAACCCATATCTACTAAAAATACAAAAAAATTAACTGGGTGTGGTGGTGCACGCCCCTAGTCCCAGCTACTCGGGAGGCTGAGGCAGGAGAATCGCTTGAGCCCCAGAGTTGAAGGTTGCAGTGAGCCGAGATTGCACCACTACGCTCCAACTTGGGCTACAGAGTGAGAATCTGTCTCTAAAAAATAAAAAATAAAAAATAAATGTTCTCACAGTTCTGGAGGCCAGAAATCTAAAATCAAGGTGTCAGTAGGGCCATACTCCCTCTGAAACCTGTAGGGAAGGATTCTTCCTTGCCTCTTTCAGCTTCTGGTATTCCCAGACATTCCTTGGTTTGTGGCAGCAAAACTCTACTCTGTCTCTCCATCTTTGCATGGCATTTCTTCTGTGTCTCTTGTCTCTTTGTGTAGCATTCTTTTTGTAAGAACACAAGTCATATTGCATTGGGGCTTCTCTTATTCCAGTTTGACCTCATCTTAACCTAATTTCATCTTCAGTGACCCTATATCTAAATGAGGCCTCATTCTGAGGCACGAGGAGTTAGGACTTCAATTCAATTCAATTCAGTCCATAACACCATTCCATTTCTTCAAGTCTATGTGTTCATTTTAAAGTTTTCTTCGTATGGTTTTTGGACATTTTAAATTTTTGTATATTTTTCATACTTTTTGTTGTCATTATAAATGTAGTTTTTAATTCTATAATTTCTGAATATAGTCAGCCCTTTCTATCCATGCTTTCTGCAATTACAGATTGAAAATATTCAGGGGAAAAAAGCAACAAAAAATAACAATACAACAATAAAAAAATACAAATTTAAAATTATAGTATAACGATTTACATAGCATTTATATTGTATTAAGTATTATAAGTAATCTGGAGATTAAAGTATATGGAAAGATACGTATAGGTTATATGAAAATGCTTTATCATTTTATGCAAGGCATTGAGCATCCATGGATTTTGGTATCCATGGGAGGTCCTGGAACCAGTCCCCAGTAGATAATGAGGGATGACTGTAGTTGTTTGTATATGAAGGTTTTTAAAAATGAATATTGATTGATATGTAGTGAATTTCTTACTTTACATAATTGTTCAGATGACTTGATTTTTCAGGTAAACAGTTTTGTTTCTGACAAATAATGTTAATTTTCATTTTCTTTTCCTTTTTTTTTTGTTTTGTTTTGTTTTTTGAGACACAGTCTTATTCTTTCTCCCAGGCTAGACAGCAGCGGTGATCTCTGCTCACTGCAACCTTGACCTCCCAGGTGATCCTCCCATCTCAGCCTCCCTAGTAGCTGGCACTACAGGGGTGCACCACTACGCCAAGATAATTTTTGTATCTTTGGTAGAGATGGGGTTTTGCCATGTGGCTCAGTCTGGTTTTGAACTCGTGGGCTCAAGAGATCTGTTTGCCTCAGCCTCCCAAAGTGCTAGGATTACAGGCATGAGCCACTGCACTCACGCCTTTTAATTAAGAGGGGCAAACTCTTTTCTTAATTTTCATACCTCTGATTTATTTCTCTTATTTAATTGCACTACCTAGTACTGCAATGAGTGGTGACAACAACTCATCTTTTCTTATTTCTGACTTTAATGTGAATGCTTCTGAATGTTTTCCATTAAGTAAAGGGCTGGTGTTTGGGCTGTACTGTAGTTTATTCTCAAATTAAATGTTATTTGTTCCTATTTTATATAAAGGATTTTTTAATGAAAAATAGAGTTTTATGATCTTAATATCTACAGAATTGATTACTTGACTTTTCCATTTTTTTAAATGTCATTACTTGACATTTTCATTAATGTATTTACTTTTAGTAATATACTTTCTATTATTGAAACATATCCCTGGAAAAAATGGACTCAAATATGATATATCTTATATTTAATGTACTTCTGGGTCACTTTTTTCCTTTTGGGTCATTTTGATGTTTTACATAGAATTTTTACATTGGTTTTCATAAATGAAATTGGATAGTTTCCTTTTTTGGTGTGTCATCTTTGTCAGGTTTTTGTATTAATATATTTTTTTCATATACAAAAACATTGGGAATTTTTCTATTTTTTCTTTCAGAACATTTTAGACAGCACAGGAGTTGTTCTTTAACTCTGTTAGAATTTTCATGTGAATCTCTGGGTTTTTCCTTTTTGTTTTGTTTTAGGGTATTACTTTTCATATTTCTTTTCATTTTATGAAAACTGATTTAGATAAGTTTTCTGAATCTTGTAGAGTCAGTTTTGGTAATTTACAATCCAGAAACGTTTAGATTATAAAAATGTATTTTAATAGAGTCCTGCAAAATGATCTTATAGGTTTTAGCTTCCTGTTTTTGTTTTTTCTCTGTAATTATTTCTTCTTACTTTATTTGTACATTCTGCATCTCCTATTTATTTACCAATTTGTTTTCTATCAAATCCTTTTTTAAAGCAATCAAAGCTATTTGTATTTATAAATACATGCCTCCACTCATATTTCCTTTCCTGAATTTCCTTCTCAAAACTTCAGAGATAAGAGATATATGCACTTGAAAATTTTTTAGTAGTGGGAGACTGGGGCTTAAACCAATAATCAGTCCCATAATTGCAATTTTTTTTTTTTTTTTTTTTTTTTTGACGCGGAGTCTTGCTCTGTGCCCCAGGCTGGAGTGCAGTGGCGCGATCTCGGCTCACAATTGCATATTTTTCAAAATGTTCTTCATATTACGATATTGGAAAAAAAATTGTAAGTGATATTTATTTTCAATCTGTTTTAGGAGAAATATGGGGAGTTGATGAGCATCAGAAAAACCAGGACAGACTTTTGAGACAAGTTGAAGTTAAATTCCAGAAAACACTGACTGAAGAAAAAGGCAATGAATGTCAAAAGAAATTTGCAAATGTATTTCCTCTGAACTCTGATTTTTTCCCTTCCAGACACAATCTCTATGAGTATGACTTATTTGGAAAGTGTTTAGAACATAATTTTGACTGTCATAATAATGCTAAATGCCTTATAAGAAAGGAACATTGTGAATATAATGAACCTGTGAAATCATATGCTAACAGCTCATCCCATTTTGTCATTACTCCCTTTAAGTGTAATCATTGTGGAAAAGGCTTCAATCAAACTTTGGACCTCATCAGACATCTGAGAATTCATAGTGGAGAAAAGCCCTATGAATGTAGTAACTGTAAAAAAGCCTTCAGTCACAAGGAAAAACTTATTAAACATTATAAAATTCACAGTAGGGAGCAGTCTTACAAATGTAATGAATGTGGTAAAGCTTTCATTAAAATGTCAAATCTCATTAGACATCAAAGAATTCATACTGGAGAGAAGCCCTATGCATGTAAGGAATGTGAGAAGTCCTTCAGCCAGAAATCAAATCTTATTGATCATGAAAAAATTCACACTGGAGAGAAACCTTATGAATGTAATGAGTGTGGAAAAGCATTCAGCCAGAAGCAAAGCCTCATTGCACATCAGAAAGTTCATACTGGGGAGAAACCTTATGCATGTAATGAATGTGGTAAAGCCTTCCCTCGAATTGCATCTCTTGCTCTTCATATGAGAAGTCATACAGGAGAAAAACCTTATAAATGTGATAAATGTGGTAAAGCCTTCTCTCAGTTTTCCATGCTTATTATACATGTTAGAATTCATACAGGTGAAAAACCCTATGAATGTAATGAGTGTGGAAAAGCCTTCTCTCAAAGCTCAGCCCTTACTGTACATATGAGAAGTCACACTGGTGAGAAACCCTATGAATGTAAGGAATGCAGAAAAGCCTTCAGCCACAAGAAAAACTTCATTACACACCAGAAAATCCATACTAGAGAGAAACCTTATGAGTGTAATGAATGTGGGAAAGCTTTTATACAGATGTCAAATCTTGTTAGACACCAGAGAATTCATACTGGGGAAAAACCCTATATATGTAAGGAATGTGGGAAAGCCTTTAGCCAGAAATCCAATCTCATTGCTCATGAAAAAATTCATTCTGGAGAGAAACCCTATGAATGCAATGAATGTGGTAAAGCCTTCAGCCAAAAGCAAAACTTTATTACACATCAAAAAGTTCATACTGGAGAGAAACCTTACGATTGTAATGAATGTGGTAAAGCCTTCTCTCAAATTGCATCCCTTACCCTTCATTTGAGAAGTCATACAGGGGAAAAGCCTTATGAATGTGACAAATGTGGTAAAGCCTTCTCTCAGTGCTCACTGCTTAATTTACATATGAGAAGTCACACAGGTGAGAAGCCCTATGTATGTAATGAATGTGGGAAAGCCTTCTCTCAAAGAACTTCCCTTATTGTGCACATGAGAGGTCATACAGGTGAAAAACCCTATGAATGTAATAAATGTGGAAAAGCCTTCTCCCAAAGTTCATCCCTTACTATACATATACGAGGACATACAGGTGAGAAACCCTTCGACTGCAGTAAATGTGGAAAAGCCTTCTCTCAAATCTCATCTCTTACCCTTCATATGAGAAAACATACAGGTGAGAAGCCCTATCACTGTATTGAGTGTGGCAAGGCTTTCAGCCAAAAGTCACACCTTGTTAGACACCAGAGAATTCATACTCATTAGAAACCCTATGAATACTGTGAATATGGCAAAGCCTTCTGAAGGAATTAACACCTCATTGCACGTTACATGATCACTTCCAGAGTAGAAAACTATGAATGTGGGATAGCCTTCTGAAAAAGCCACAAATTTATGAAACATTAGAGAATTCTTCCAAGGTGACAAATTATATAATGAAAAAGCTGATTATCAGAAACTTTCAGCAGACATCTTACTGATAATATTTAATCAGAATTCTCATTGAAATCTGAAACAAGGTATCTGCCATCAGCATAACAACACAATACTTGAGCTCCTAGCCAATGTATTAAGTAAGAAAAACAAGATTGGGAAAACCAAGTATCAATGAAGAACTATAAAAATAACTTATACAAAAAATAGTTAATTAGAAAACATGTTGATAGAAAAATCTAAGAATAAACACAACAATGAATTGAGGTCTTCATCAAGTTATAAAACATGTTGAAAGGCACCTGAAAAATGATATTTTGTCTGAAAAAACTTGACATTGTAAAAATAAAATTTCTCTCCCAAATCGCTAAGTTTAATATACTTCCACTTGAAGTTTACATCAGTTTTATTTTAAGGAACTTCACAAACTTATCCAAAAATTTTATGTGGAAAAGTAAAGAAACACAAATAGCTGAAACAAACTTGACAAAGCAAATAGAGAAGACACACTCTATTATTAGATATATACTTATTTAAAGCTGTTGTCATTTAAACAATGTATTACTGAGTGAATAAATCAAGCAGTAGTAAGATAGCATCGATACAAAAATCCAAGAAGATACAGGAATTCTGTGTATGACAGTGCTATTGAAATCATTGGAGAATGAATGGCTTATTTAATAAATGGAAGGTTCACGGGAGAAAACTTTTAGCTTTCTACTTTATCTCATATACAAAAATAAAATCCAACTAAAGACCAGAATATAAAAAGCAAAATTCTAAAACTATGATGAAAGTAGAACCTATTACTTTAGGGTAACAAGATTTCTTTAAAAACACATAAACGGCCGGGCGCGGTGGCTCAAGCCTGTAATCCCAGCACTTCGGGAGGCCGAGACGGGCGGATCACGAGGTCAGGAGATCGAAACCATCCTGGCTAACACAGTGAAACCCCGTCTCTACTAAAAAATACAAAAAACTAGCCGGGCGCGGTGGCGGGCGCCTGTAGTCCCAGCTACTTGGGAGGCTGAGGCAGGAGAATGGCGTGAACCCGGGAGGGGGAGCTTGCAGTGAGCCGAGATCCGACCATTGCACTCCAGCCTGGGCGGCAGAGTGAGACTCCGTCTCAAAAAAAAAAAAAAAAAAAAAAAAAAAAAAACACATAAACATGGAATAGTCCATTGAATTTTGGTGTGTTGGCTCACAGGCACCCACAAATGTACACAAAGAGATATCACTGTGTTCCTGAATCATGGTTTGTATTGCCCAAAATTGGATATAACAAATTTTTATCAATTGTGGAATAGATAAGTGTGATCATTTCTGTGACAAAATACAGAATTTAGAGAGAAACAAAACCTACTTATAGTTATATGGATAGATTACACTATATAATATTGAGAGAAAAAAATTTAAATACACAACGGAACACAGTATAACATTTGTATAATTTAATAAGATCTTGCAAAGAACAGTACTATGTATTGGTCATGGATCCATATACGACTTGGTTGCCTTTTGTGATGTGGGAAAGGTTTGATGGGAGTTCTTATATTTATCTGTAATATTTCTTTAATAAAAGAGTGAAAGCAGGCCGGGCGCGGTGGCTCAATCCTGTAATCCCAGTACTTTGGGAGGCCGAGACGGGCGGATCACGAAGTCAGGAGATCGAGACCATCCTGGCTAACATGGTGAAACCCCGTCTCTACTAAAAATACAAAAAACTAGCCGGGCGTGGTGGCGGGCGCCTGTAGTCCCAGCTACTCGGAGGCTGAGGCAGGAGAATGGCGTAAACCCGGGAGGCGGAGCTTGCAGTGAGCCGAGATCGCGCCACTGCACTCCAGCCTGGGTGACACAGCGAGACTCCGTCTCAAAAAAAAAAAAAAGAGTGAAAGCAATTTTGACAGTGGTGATAAATCTGGTTGTCCAAATTAATGTTACGGGTTTTTCATTTTTTTTCTTGCCTTTATTTTCCTAATTTCCCTAAAATAAGAATCAAATGGGTGGGGGAAACCTGGGCCTGGAGAAATAATTTTAAAATGGAATTTTATTCTTGATCAGATACTAACATTTATAGAAGATTCTCTTTACACAAAACATACCTAACAAGATATTATTTTGTTTACTGTCTCTTCATGTTAATTGGAATAATAAAATCAGCAGTATTTTAGCATTTATTTGAGGCCAATTTTTAATTTTAAACAAATTTTTTTCTAGTTGAAAGGAGTATAGAAACAAAACAATTGGCCGGGCGCAGTGGCTCAAGCCTGTAATCCCAGCACTTTGGGAGGCCGAGACGGGCGAATCACGAGGTCAGGAGATCGAGACCATCCTGGCTAACATGGTGAAACCCCGTCTCTACTAAAAAAATACAAAAAACTAGCCAGGTGAGGTGGCGGGCGCCTGTAGTCCCAGCTACTCGGGAGGCTGAGGCAGGAGAATGGCGTGAACCCGGGAGGCGGAGCTTGCAGTGAGCTGAGATCCGGCCACTGCACTCCCGCCTGGATGACAGAGCCAGACTCCGTCTCAAAAAAAAAAAAAAAAAAAAAAAAAAAAAGAAACAAAACAATTATTATTGGGATAATTGGCTATCCATTTGGGGGGGAAAATCCACCTTCATTTGGGTTGGTTTTGGAGTGAGGGAAAGAGACCATTCATGCATACTGTAAAATATAGTTTACATTCTAATATGTCAAGCCAAGAATAGTTACCAGTGTTGGAGTAGGAGCAATATCTATAGATCTCAACAAAGCTTTCTTTGTTTCTGGATCAATAAATGGGGATGCAGATGCTGGTGATTTTATGTATGCCAGGTAAGGCCCAGTGGAGGTGAAAAATTCACTTCATTCTGTTCCACAGATGTTTTATATTCAGGCCTTTCAAATATTTGTGTTGCTGCCAGGTACAGTGGTGGCTCACGCCTGTAATCCCAGCACTTTGGGAGGCCGAGGTGGGCAGATCACTTGAGGTCAGGAGTTCATGACCAGCCTGGCCAACATGGTGGAACCCTGTCTTAACTGAAAATACAAAAATTAGCGGCCGGGCACGGTGGCTCAAGTCTGTAATCCCAGCACTTTGGGAGGCCGAGACGGGCGGATCACGAGGTCAGGAGATCGAGACCATCCTGGCTAACACGGTGAAACCCCGTCTCTATTAAGAAATACAAAAAACTAGCCGGGCGAAGTGGCGGGCGCCTGTAGTCCCAGCTACTCGGGAGGCTGAGGCCGGAGAATGGCGTAAACCCGGGAGGCGGAGCTTGCAGTGAGCTGAGATCCGGCCACTGCACTCCAGCCTGGGTGACACAGCGCGAGACTCCGTCACAAAAAAAAAAAAAAAAAAAATTAGCTGGGTGTGGTGGCACGCGCCTGTAATCTCAGCTATTTGGGAGGCTGAGGTACAAGAATCACTTGAACTCAGGAGGCAGAGGTTGTAGTAAGCCGAGATCGCGCCACTGCATTGCAGCCTGGGCAACAGAGTGAGACTCCATCTCAAAAAACAAAAAAACAAATATGTTGCCTCCAATTTCATTTTCTGTGAATAGTCTATTCATATATTAAGTCTGCTTTTTTCTACTGGAACTTTAAAAAGTTTTTCTTAGAAATAATTATAGATTTGTAGGAAGTTATACAAATAATACCCTATATAGTACTATTTAGTTCTTGTACCCCACACCTCATTTCTTCTAATGGTAACACCTTATATAACAGTACAATATCAAATTTGACATTAGTACAGTCCACAAACATTACCAGTTTTATGTGCACTTGTGTATGTGTCTGTACAGTTCTATACAATTTTATCTCATGTACAGATTAGTGTAACTACCACTCCCAATAGTCAATATATAAAACTTTTAATACCCCAAAGATCCCTTGTTCTATCCATTTATAGTCATACCCATCTTCCTGTCCTCTCCTCACTCCCCATCCCTAACCCCTGGCAATTACTAATCTATTCTCTATCTCTCTAGTTTTTTTAATGGATTTTTTTCTTAATTTTTGTGTTGTAATATATTCTGGACACAAATCCTTTGTCAGTTATTTGCATTCTAAAAATACTGTTTTGTTTTCAGTTTATTTCAGACACAAAAATTTTTAAGCTGAATGTGAAAATTAGTCTATGATACATTTTGAGTTAACTTTTCATGAGGAATAAAATTTAGGTCAAGATTCATTTTTTGGATGTCTACTTGTTACAATGCTATTTGCTGGAAAAAAAAATAGTGTTTCTCCATTGAATTGTTTGGCCTACTTGTGTGTTTCTGCTCTTTTCCAAAAATCTATGCATCTATCCCTCTATCAATGCCACACTGTCTTGATTACTGTAGCTGTATACTGATTGCTCTCACTTTATTATTCTTTCTCTTTTCTTTTTTTTTTTTTTTTTTTTTTTTTTTGAGGCAGGGTCTCACTCCTGTTGCCCAGGCTGGAGTGCAACAGTTCAGTCATAGCTCACTGCAGCCTCAACTTCCCAGAATCAGATGATTCTCCTAACCAAGTAGCTGAGACTACAGGTGTGTGTCACCACACTCAGCTAATTTTTGTATTTTTAGTAGAGATGGTTTTGCCATGTTGCCCAGGCTGGTCTCAAACTCTTGAGTTCAAGGAATCCTCTGGCCTTGGTCTCCCAGAATGCTAGAATTACAGGCGTGAGCCACCACACCTGACATATTTTCAAAATTTATTTATCTATTCTACTTTCTTTACTTTTCCATATAAATTTTGGATCAGCCTGTCTATGTTTTCAAAAGCCCTGCTTAAATTTTGATAGAAATTGCATTAAGCCTTTATTTCACTGTGGCAGAATGGAAGTCTTTACTATACTGAGCCTTCCACTCCATAAACACAATATGTGTCTTATGTAAGTCTTCTTTGATTTCATCAGTTTTAATCATTATTTTGTAATTTTTAGCTCTTGTAAACGTATTAGATTTAAACTTAACTGCTTCACTGGATGTGTGTGTTGTGATATTCTTGTTTGTAAATTCCTTTAGATTTTCTACGTAGAAAATAATATCATCTATAAATGGGGCCGGTTATATTTTGTTCTTTCAAATCTATATGCTTTCTTTTTACTTTTCTGGTGTTATAAATTGTCAGCAAGCTTCTGGAATGGGATTTTAAAGCTGACTTATGGGAGAAAATCAGTTAGCAATCATCAAAGGCCAAAACATAAAAGGCAATAAAACATAAAAGGGGCACCCGGGAGACAGTACATGGGTGACAGGGTCATTTGTACCCCAAACCTCAGCATCACACAATATGCCCAGGTAACCTGCACATGTACCCCCAACTCTAAAATTTTTTTAAGAGATGATATTTAAAGGAGAAATGAGATTGCCCTATACTACAGTAACAGTCACTTGTACAGATAGAAT